TCCAGAGCCTGAAGGGAGCATGGAAGAAAGATGGAGAGAGACTATTGACAAGGGCCTGGAGTGACAGGACAAGAGGGAACGACTTCAAACTGAGGGAGAGCAAGTTTAGATTCGATATTGGGAAGGAATTCTTGGCTGTGAGGGTGGGGAGGCCCTGGCACAGGTTGCCCAGAGAAGCTGTGGCTGCCCTGGATCCCTGGAAGTGTCCAAGGCCAGGTTGGATGGGGCTTGGAGCAACCTGGGCTAGTGGGAGGTGTCCCTGCCCATGGCAGGGGGGTGGAACAAGATGAGCTTTCAAGTTTCTTCAACAACCCAGTCTATGATTCTTTAATAACTGCAATAGCAAACACCAGTGAATTTATCTTAGTGTGCTTGGAGAATGTCCTTTTGTGACCTAATATCAGTTAATCAGGCACACTGTTTAAAGGAGGTCATGACATAGAGTTTTAAGTTTTGTGATCTTCCCTGGATGACAAGTTCCTTATTGAGGTCAGTCAGGATTAATGGCTCCTCACACTCCATTCCCCTCACACCCTCTTGTGTTGAAGATAGATGAGTGGCTCAGAAGACTGGATTTTAAGAAAGTGCTGTGAAGTGTTTCCTGATGATTTGAAAATATTTATATAATTTTTTTTAATTTGCCCATAGTAATTGATAGTCTTTCTTTTCTTACATATTTTAAAGTTATTTTACAGAAATTTGAAGTGAGAACAACAAAGTGTGTTTGGAGGTGTTGCTTAAGAAAATTCCATTTTAATGGAAATGACTTGTGGAGTTGAGATTGTGCATATAGGAGAAAGTAAAGATTCATGCTTCCTTTCTCGCAGGTATTCCTGTGATGGGGTTACTCAAAGGCAGTGCCACAGTGTTCCTGCAGCACTAGGGGCCCACAAATGCTTTCCCTGAATTAGTCTTGCAGTAATGAGCAATTAGTAAGAGCAGTGGCACACGGCCCAAACAGGAAGCCTCAGATCAGTATGTTCAGTTCTGTGTACAAACATCTCTGCTGTTACCTAGCAAGGTGTGCTAAAAATGCAGATGTAGGCAACCATCCATGACGAACAAAAGCCGAGGATTCAGTGAGGGCAACAATCTATTGATAAAGGAGCTGCTGTTTGAGAGTCCTGGCTAACTTCCTGCTTTTTTTTCTCTAGTCATTGTAGTGTTGTTTGTAACACTGAAAAGGCAGAAAAAAGAACCTCTGATCGTTTTTGAAGAAGAAGACGTGCGGGAGAACATTATCACCTACGATGATGAGGGTGGCGGTGAGGAGGACACGGAAGCCTTTGACATTGCCACGCTGCAGAACCCCGATGGCATCAATGGGTTCATCCCTCGCAAGGACATCAAACCCGAGTACCAGTACCTGCCCAGGCCGGGCCTCCGGCCGGCTCCCAACAGCGTGGACGTTGATGATTTCATCAACACGAGGATACAGGAGGCTGACAACGACCCCACTGCTCCTCCCTATGACTCCATCCAGATCTATGGCTATGAGGGCAGAGGCTCAGTGGCTGGGTCACTCAGCTCCTTAGAGTCAGCAACCACAGATTCTGATTTGGACTACGACTATCTACAAAACTGGGGACCTCGATTTAAGAAACTTGCAGACTTATATGGCTCCAAAGACACTTTCAATGATGATTCTTAACAATAAAGTTTAAGATTTGGCCTTAAGAACTGTGTCCGATGTTCTGAAGAATCCAGAAGAAATGTTAGCAGGTATTTTTTTAAAAATCAAGAAAATCTCATTTAAACATTTAAGTTTGACAGAGAGGATTCCTTTGATAGAAAAGGACTTAAAAGTGGTAAATACTGTGAAGTACCTTTTCCTACAAAAGGCAAATCTAGAAGTTGGCTGCCAGCTTCACTGAAGGAAAATACCCACTTTAGAAATACAAAATATTTAAATGAAGGAAAATGCTAAAAGTGAACCTACAAACAAGGGAAATCTTTTATGTATTACGAACACCTAAATCTTTTACATCAAAGAAGCTTCCACAATTAGAAAAGATAACAGTTCTGAGCTGTAATTTCGCCTTAAACTACGGACACTCTATATGGTAGTGCATTTTTAAACTTGAAATATATAATATTCAGCCAGCTTAAACCCATATGATGTATGTACAGTACAATGTACAATTATTATGTCTCTTGAACATCAAACTTGTTACTGCTGATTCTTGTAAATCTTTTTGCTTATACTTTCATCTTGAACTAATACGTGCCAGATATAAAAACTCTGTCTTGTTGCAGTGGGAGGAGCCCTATTTCTATGTCATTTTTAATGTATCTATTTGTACAATTTTAAAATTCTTATTTTAGTATACATACAAATATCAGTATTCTGACATGTAAGAAATGTTACGGCATCACACTTATATTTTATGAACATTGTACTGTTGCTTTAATATGTGCTTCAATATAAGAAGCAGACTTTGAAATAAACTGATTCTTTTTTAATTCTTGTTCTGGTTATTAAGCATATAAGGAAAAACATAGTGTTTCTAATGTCCCATTTATAGTTCTGACTAATTTACTACAATTGTGACCTTTTAATAGCCTTATTTATTATGTGTTTGTAGTTGGTTTGTTGCCTTGTTAAGTGATTATTTAAAAATCAAGTACATTTTACAAATGTTTTTTAGATTAAAAAAATGTAATGTCTGGTGAACATTTTGTACCCTCTCTATCTCCAGCTTGTGGCTGCTCCCAGAGCACAGTAAGAATAGTCATAGAAGACTACTGTGTTTTCTGGATTAAATTAAGTATAATACTTTTCAATATTCCCCATGTAATATGCCTTTATCTTATATCTTAGGAATTCCAGAGGTCTCAGAAGTGACTTTGTAGGTGGACAGGAGTGCTCTGTACTTACAGTGTACTCCAGGTCTGTGAGCTCCCCTATCTGTGCTAAGCTTCTGCGGGTTCTAGAGACTTAAACCTGACCCACTTTAGCTGTAAGTTCCCTAAAGACTGTTCTACCTGACAATTACCTTACCCAAGTAGTAATTAAGATTCCAGCGCTTACTTTTTTTCTTTTGACTTTTTTTCTTTGGGTTTTTTTTTTTTTTATCAGTAGCATCTGCGGATAGGAACACATTTACCTTGTGACCACAGAAGTGCAGAAACACAGAGAGCTTTGGGAATTGGGCTTTGTAATGAATGTTTTTAATCGAAAAAGTGATCTATAACTTTTTTTTTATTAGTTCAGAAGGAGCAAGGGATTGGAATATGTTCTGTGCATCAACCTTTTCTGCATCTGTGTACTGCTGTGCTTTTGCTGAATTTAATACAGTTGGCTGTTTAGGGTCAGAGATCAGCAGCTGCAATATGGGAAGAGGCAATAAATAGAACTGATATACATTTTCCTACTCTTCATATTACACACCCTGTCCTTCATTTGCAGTCAGGTACCAAACTGCTTAGTCTGAGAGGAAATCTGATTTGTTGGTGTATCACTTTTCTGAAGACCCCCATTTATGTAGTTAGATTAAAATTTAACTCCTTAAAATTATGAATGGTGTTTCAGCTCTATATCCATAACATATTCTCTTGACCCATTATATCCCCATGTTTTATAAGGCAGGGTTTGCTAAATCAGCAGATTTGCTCTACAATGTTTATTGTAATATTTCACTTTTTTATAGCTGTATGCATTCTATATAATTCTATAGTTTATTATTAACTTGGTTCAAATTTCTTTGGTTGTTGTTTTTTTCTCTGTTTATAATCCAAAGAATATTTTGCTAGATTTGCACATTTCTCCATTATAAATTTAAATAAACATGAAAAAAAAGAAATTAGTATCAATTTACAAATTAATAAATTGAAATAAACTAAAAAATAAGTAATTTGTAGGACTCCATCCTCATTGATGCTATCTGGGTTTATTTCACTTTTGAGTAAGTTTTAGAATTAATAACTGCATTTTTTACACTTTTATGTTTAATTTTTAAGAAGGACATTGTCAACTACATTTTTTTAAATAGTTTTAAATGCTTTGAGTTTTAGTCTCTACTGTTTGTAGCACTCTCGTAGATGCTTGGAAATAAATTTTCTTTCCCTGCTGGTTTTGTCCTTTTTCATTTGATTATTTTCCCCCCTTCCCAGTGAACATGCAATCACATAGTGTTTTATTAAATTAGGCTTGCTAATCTCAGCCAACACCACCTCTGAAATGCTGGGAATTGCCCTTATTGCATATCATCTGCAGCACCTCAAACCCACGGCGTGTTTTGGCACAAGAACAGGACGTTTATTTGTGTTGAACTTCACCCCAGCAGTCGGGGAGTCTCGGGTTTATAATTTGAGAGCATAACCCCAGCCCAGCCCAGCAGTCCCGGGTTGGTCCCGACACACGAGTTTGTCGCAGCGTTCCCAGGATCTGAGCCACCTGGGAAGGACTTTGATCACACGAGTTGCTTTAGCGCAGTCTCTGTCTTCCCGACTGAGCTCAGGGAAGGACTGAGCCTCACACCCATGGAAGGAACTAGAAGACTAATTACAACTTGAAGAAAACCCTAATTAAAGGAGGATCACCACGGCTGAGCCAGGTAAGGCAAGGAACAGCAGCAAGTGCAGGTGGTGTTTTGGCCATTTTTCCCTCTTAGAAGTGCTACCTGAGGCATCATTTAGGGGGACACAACAAAATCCCTCCAAATACGGTCAATGGAATGTTAACAGGAGTGATTTTTTTGTGAGCTGAGTGCATGTGTGAGCAAAAATCCTCAGCTCCCTGCCTGTCTGGGTATCACCAGGACTGGCACCTGAGCGGGGCTGAGGAGCTGCTGCCTCTGAGTACCCGCAGTGTGTTGGAGCACCAGCCCTCATTTGAGCACCAGCCCTCACTGGCAAGAATCGATTAGGAATGCAAATGCAGGGCCGGTTGCTAAGGGAACTCTCCAACTTACACTGACAGGGAAGGGGAGGGTTTGTTTGGGAATTCTTACATTGGCCTCCGTCCTGTTCTTGCTATGATGTCAAGCAGTCCTAGATACCATGTACAGGGGTACAAACCTGCAAGCTCACCACCAGCATTGATGTGATCTTGTGTGAGCTCCTGCCACAGAGGCTGCTACACCAGAGCTGAGGAAAGCTTCTAAAGAGCTTGCATGTTTTCTTGACTCCATATTGTTGACTGACTGACAAGACAAAATGCTAAATTTTACCATGTTGCATCTGATAAACTCACAGAGAAAGTGAAGGATAGGAATTTAAATAAGGCTCACAAAGAGGCAGCCTTAGCTTTCTGGAACCCAAACACCTGCAATTCTTTTATGTCTTCCCCATCCAGCAGCATTCTCAGAATGACATGTTTTTATTGAAAGGGTCACTAAACAAAAATCTGTGTAGGCCCTGTGTAGGTTTCCCCTTTGGCCACTGATCTAAATGCTGAGCTACTGTAAAGTTGAACAATTGGCACCAGAGTCACACTCTATATTTAAAAATAAAATTAAAGCAAAAAGAGAGAGAAGGAAAAGGAATGGCTTGGGAAAGGGAATGAGTGAACTTGTCAAAAAATTGTTTCTGCACAAAGTCCTGGGCCTTGCCTGCCCACCAACTTGAGCTCTGTGGTTTTTCACTCCCTCCCTTAATTAACTGCAAACCCCACTTCCAAAATTAAGTCCCCAGAATCGGCACAGCAGAGGAGGGGCAGAAGCTGCGCCGTCACTCCAGGCAGAGCTTTGCCGTGTATGACACAGTGACTTCATGTGTGTGTACCCCCAGTGGACTTTGCTGAGGTCCCAGACCTCCAAACTTCTGGAGGTGGAGGGTTTTACATGACAGGGGCAACTGCTTCTCCACGTGGGGTTTTCTGCAGAGTACATGGAGTGTTTCGTGTTTCACCGTGGAAAGAAAACACAGAACACGAAGGGGGAGAGATCTGCATGGACTGTGTGTGGCACTCAGACTTCTTTCCAGGTCAGAGAAAGGTCCTTCTCAAGAGTCTTTCAGACTTTCGGGTGAAGCCAAATTGTGTTCTATAAATAATTAAATATTAACCCAGGCAGTGAATTGAACCTGAGATTTTCAAAGTCTTTGTGAGTTCTCTAACTGCCAAACTGAAAACCTGATAGATTTTTTTCTTTTCTTTTTCATGCTTGTTTAGTCCGTTTGCAGTAGCTCATAACTGCATCAAGAACACCAAGAGCTGAAACACCATCCATGACTGGGAGGGAAATCTGCTTTGGAGGGACAAATTTATAAGTGGTGATGGGGATAATTGTCTACTACCCCATCCTGCCAGGAGGTGAGAAGGAATAGACACATCTCTTGTCCACATTTCTTTTTCCTTTTATGTTTGTAAAATCAGGACTAATACCTAATTACTCAGCTATCTAAGTCTAGGAGAAGATTTTGAGTCCTCTTGTCTGGAGCTGTTTGTCAGACTCTTGATTACAGGGATGCTTTTTTAAAATAAATCAAAACTAAAGCTTAAAAGTTTGAACTTCAGCAGCTTTAAAAACTAGAAAGAGAAAAAAACCCTTACTCTGTAGTTTTTTTAAAGCTATCCCTTAGCTAACTCAAAGACATGTCTTGCATTTTTGGTGGTTAGTGAAAGAGGCTTAGACTTTGTGACTGCTTTGGACTGAGGTTACTGATTGCTTTCCCTTTTTATTTTTTTTTATTTCAAACAAGCGAAAAACATGTTTATTTTAATTGAACAAATCCATATGCTGCTCCTCAGGCCTTTTGCAAGTGGAGGTTTTGTTTTGCTGTTGTTGTCTTCTTTTCCAACCTAAATCATTCCATGAGTCTGTGACTCACTGCGTTGACTGCCAAGGCAAATTTCCTCCAGCTCCATCCCCAGCAGGGCTTGCAGACACCCCACTCCTGTCCCTTGTTAACTACAAGAGCTTCTGTATTGTTCTTTCTGATACGTGGAGGCTGATGGGGGCTGGGGGTGGATTTTTTGGTTGTTCTTTGTGATATTTGGAGGGTTTAAGGGGACACGAGGAGGAATTTTCTGTTGGTGTTTGGAAGCTACAATTTTCACTTCCACAACTACAAAACTGGCTTTCCCTGCTCACGTGCTGTGCTCAGTGCCCTCTCCCTGGGTGGTGAGGAGCAATTTTTCAGGGAGTGATAAACTTCCTCATGCTTGGCAGGGCATCTGTAGAAAACCCCATTGTTCTCCTGCTGCCAACACTGTCCTTCCTCCCAGGAGCCTTTTCTCCCTGCTGCAGCCCCAGCTCATATTTTCCTTCTTCTTATTAGAGCACTGAAGAAAGTCATCATTAATCAAATGCAAGCACATTTAGCAAAGTTCAATGTGTATGAAAAATTTATGTCAACCTTTAGGCTCTATGACAGTCCCAAGGCTTCACTTAATAAGTTCTATAATGACTCACTGTTAATGGCCAACTCACATTATCTCTTTGAGGTCTATTGGGCCTTTCAGTAACATTTTCTATTATTGATTATGGAGCTGCTGCACATTACCGAGACATTGAAGCAAGACTGTTGTTTACATTCTTTGCTTTCTAAAATGGAAAGTTGGATGTGGTAAACTATAAAAACTCACAGAACAAGATTTTCTCTCATGTTCTGTGGCTCCAGCATAGTACAATAGTGAATGAAAGAGCAGCTGTTTGTGGGGGCTGACAGAAGCTCTTGGAAATGAGTAGAAATTTGACATACCTTGTCCATTGATTTAGCAGAAATCTACACTTCAAAAGCTGTCATCACCCAGCCATCTATCACCCTCCTAACAGCCTCAGAGAAGGTCAGACAGAATGGCTGACTGCCCTGAGTTCTGCAGGTTTGTTCTCTAATGAATCGTATTTAATCTCAGACATTTAATTTCTTTCAGAATTTTATCTCGGGAAAAAAGATTCGGGAAGGTTTCCGACAACACCATGAACTGCCCATTTCTGCAGCTTCATGCAAAGCTCCAGCAAACGCTTTTCACTAAACACAATCTCTCAAGATTGTTCAGTTCTCATAATTGTATTGTTTTCTAAAGCCTAGATCCTGTGCACACTATTCAGCACAATATTTACTACTGTGAATAAATGGCAGCACTCATAATAGTGAGTCTAATGAGGTAACACTGCTGGAATCCAAGTGCTCCCACACTCCTGGAAGCTGCTACGTCGCACTGTGTTTAAACATCATTCAATGAAAGAACAGGAACACTCTGTGCGCCTACACACCCTGTCACTGCACTGCAGACTGCTCTGAAGTGCATGGTGTCAGGTATGATTCCTCTCATGGAGAAAAGTTCCCCCAATAACACCGCAGTGCCTCACTTAGAATTGCTAAAAAAACGTATTTTCTTGTCATGGCCACTCAAAAAGAACAGACTGTTCCATCCATGTAAGTAACAATGTGCAACTGTAGTAAGGATGAAAAAAAATAGAAAAATAAATAAAGACATAGGAGTTGCTTTGCAATATTTTTAAAAAGAAAGACGGAAACAGCATAAATTCATTGTATTAAGAGACACTGAATCACCAGCAACATCAGCCACTACATCATAGAATCATAGGATGACTTGGGTTGGAAGGAACATTTAAAGATCATCCAGTCCCTGCCATGAGCAGGGACACCTTCCACTAGACCAGATTGCTCAGAGCTCCATCCAACCTACCTTGAACACTTCCAGCATGTAGATCAAAAAAGAGAATTTGTTTTTCTGTCTTGCTACCCCCTTCTCCCTGTGCCATCCCACCTGCAAGACTGAAGTTGCTCCAAATGCAGAGCAGTAAGTTCAGCAGAAACCCTACAGAACACACAGCCAGGGCAGCACTGAGAACGTGCACACGGGCTGTGTGCTGTGCCTGGGGGTGCATTATAAAGCCCCCTAATACTGACATGGCTTTTGCATCACCACCTTCACCTTCCTGATGCTGCACCAGCATCTTGGTGGTGGGAGAAGTGGACGAGCACATTCAGAGATCTGTTGGCTGCTTTTCGAGTGAGATCATGAGATACACAAGCTATTTATCGCCAAACTCTTTAAAGAATTAAAAGCTGTGCATAACCCTGAATATTCCAAGGAGACTATTGCTGGTAAAGTGCTTTCAGCCATAGTAGATAATCAGAAACTTTAGTAAAAAAGCTTTGCTATTGACTCTGCTTCAAAATAAAAAGGGCATCTGTACTTGACTGCAATAAAAAACTAGTGCAAAGTGTCTGCATGACAATAACGGAGACCACAGTTTTAATGAGAGTTGGGGAAAAAGAAAGACTAGAATTTCTGACTGTTTATTTGCCCTTGGTGGATTATGAGATGAAATGAAAGTCCCTGCTTTTTTTAGCATGGAGGTCAATATGGGGTCGTGCTAATAAAAGAGTACTAGACTCCCTCTGCACCTATTAAAGTTGAGAACCCAAACTAACCTTCCAGTGCAGTGCAGGAAGCCATATGCCAGTGATGCATTGCAGACACAGTCCCTTCCCATCACATGTACCAGAGGTGAGCCAAGGTTCAGGAACACGCAGATGCTCTGTTTGTTTGGATCTGTGGAGGTCACTGTAATAACCCGGCTTGACGAGCCCAGGCTGGGACCTTTCCTGTAAGCCACAGACTTTATCTTCTTTGTTCCCAGTTTGTTTTGGCTGCAAAATTTATGAGATATTCCTTGGACCCACAAACTGGAATAGTCACTGGTGGCTGAGGGATTGAGGGCTCCCTGCCTGGCGGACAGGACCCCCAGGCTGCACTGGGAGCAGCGTCGGTGCCAACTGCAGAGCTGCGCCTGCCAGGAGAACAATGTGCTGTGACCACACCACCAAAACCCACCACCCCTCTGGCCAGAAAACATTTTTCATTTTGGGGAGTTGGGAAATGGTGGGACAGAAGCATTTCTAGGAAGGGTGCCTCTGTATAAAGGCCAGGCAGTAGGGGAAGGGGAGGAGCTCACCTTCAACCATCCTGGTCTCCCTGAGCTGACTACTATTTGTCTTGAAAACTGTTTCAGGGAAGAGTAGGAGGAGAAAAGATTCAGGCAAATTGTTTTTTGTCTGATTGGTACAATGTCCTTTAGGGAGAGAAATAGAAGCCTACAAGACAAAAAAGATAATCTGAGTGTGTGAGGGTGTAAGAGGGACTCAACCCTCAGTGCTCACCTCAGCCACCACCCTGATTGCATTGCCATGGTGGAGACCAACACCAAAGCACATCCAGGACAGGCAGGTCAATATGGGGAGAAGGCTTTTTCCACTGTAGAGGAAAGGGCTGCTCTGTGTCCTGGCAGGTGTGAACAGCTCCATTCACAGGCCCTGCAGGTCTGTGGAGGGTGCAACATTTGAAAGCATCTAGACCCCCACTGACTTCAAATATAATCTTGCAGCTCTAAAACCCCTTTCTCCCATGAGCCCATTCATCTTTAAGAAGAGTGACAGATTTCTAGAAAACTTCATCTGTTCTCTGACGGGTTCTTTTCCAACCCTGTTGTGCTCCGGGGCTCCCCTGCAGGTTCAGTACCTCAGTGCTGTCCGAGCAGCGAGTCTGTCACGTCAGAGCATTGCCATAAAACATGATATATCCTCCAAATCGTGGAAGCTTCCCTGCTCACAGTGGAATGGCCGGGAAGCAGAGTGTTCACTAGGTGAAAGACTCTTGCTCTTAATGGGCCAAATTGAGAGTTATTTGTCTGGCAAAGAGTTTCCCCTCTCTCAGAAATTCAGGTTGAATTCCCCTTACCATTTAAACTCAGAAGACTGAAATGTTTGCAGGTTTCATTAGCCCTGATTTCTGACACAAGAGCTCCTCCTCTCCTTGAGGTTCTCCAAGCAGAATTCAGTGTGCTCTTTTTACTCTACCCATGCTATCCCCAGCAAAGGTTACAGGGCTTGATTTGTCTCTGGGGTTTTTGTTGTTCTCCCTGAAAGACGATATTTTCTTTCTTAATATTTTTTAGATTCCATTTAAAACATGTTCTGTTTGTCACCCTGAGTACTCCATTAATATCCTTGCCACAAGCATCCACAACTCAGTGTATTACTCTCCATTAGGAAAATTTATGGTATGGGTTTAATTTGTTTCAGTTAAAGATCAGTGTTGTCACAGAGGAGCATAATATCACTCTCACCAGTTTAATGAATAAATAAGGTAAATACTAAATCACTGCTCACTTCTGCAGGTCCTTCTGGTTCACTTGAGAAGCTGTAAGGAGTATGGAGATTGCCCATGAAGGCAAAGTTCCTAAAGTTTAGGGCATGTATTCCCCAGAAATATGGTCAGATGAATCACTGGAGTTACTCTAGGGAGAAAGGTGGCCATATGCAAATTTAATACAGAATGGTCTCACTCTGCCAAGGAAAAGAGAAAGAAAACCACAGAGGGTTTTAGGGGCTGCCAGTGCATATTATTCAACTTTCATTAACTCTGCTAAGAACAAGCCAGAGAATTGAATTTGGAGTCTTGCTGCAAAGCTAAACTGCAGTCCATCTGTTTTCCATCCCCAACAATGGATAGGCCAAAATTTATGCAAAAAAATTTTTTACTCTAGTATTTGAAGGTTGAAATAGCAGTTACCTCAAAATTTGGTGCCGCTTCCCTCTTTCAGAGACATATTTTGGAGGAGCTTTTTGTATTCAGGCTTCTCATGGCTGTGTTTGAACACCACTTGAAATGATTCAAGAGTTTTTCTTGATAAACGGTTGCTGTGATCCAGGGCCCATATGGCTTGTTTTGGAGTGTGTAAAGGTCATTGCTTCTGTTAATACAACTAGTACAAATACTTCCCTGCCATCTGACAGTGTTCCTCCTTATTCAGATTGGCAGCCATTTCCCCCCCACAATCTGGAATTTCCTTTCAACGTGGGCTGTTGAAGTGGAGATGTAACAGTTTTAAAATCAAAGGTTGAATGCTTCTGTTGAGTTATACTTGGAACCGACCATGTTCTGTACAGTGAGAACATCCCATATGGAAAGGACATATGTGTTGGATACAATAATACATAAATAGTGGATACAATTTTATATAACCCTTATATTCTTATAGCTGTTACATATAATCCTCTAATGAGACAGGTGAAATAGATGACTTCAGATGACTGATATTTAAGTCCATGTGTTGAAAGCTTACACAATAAAGAGGGAGTTTTAAAGACAGATTTAGTTGTACATAATTTTTCAAACATTTGCATTGACATAAGACTCTTGAAAACCCTGTTGAACTGTCTTTAAACAATAAAACTGGAGACAGCACTGGAACTTCGCGTTGAAGATCCACCCTGGATGGAGACTCACATAAACATTCATAAATTGTCCAAGATAAACAATTCAGACTAATTTTTTTCCTGGTTTGGTTAGAAAAAAAAACGTATCAAGTTTTTGGAGGAATGAAGTAAGTGAGAAGTTTCAGTGAAATTGTTCGAGCTAAGATTAAAACAATCCTGACAATTGTTTTTGTTGTGAAATTTCAGCATTGCCAAGATGTGGAGCTCGGCTGTGGGAACTGTCAGGAGGAAAAGTAACCATGTCATCACTGACCTCTCCCTAGGAAAACCCATGCAAATGCAGACGATGTCGAAGACTTGAGGAGGAGGAGGGGAATAAATCTCAGTTTGCAGATGGGCAGTGAAGACCTGTTATTACTCAGCAGCTAAGTTCTCTACAGAGTCTGGGCAGAAAATCTTCCCATCCTGTCCTTGTCCTCCCCCATCATCACCCCCACCCCCCCCACCCCCCTCCCCAGGAGCTTGAACACTGAGCTGTCTGGAGAGATGGCTAAAACAGGATGTGGGAGGGGTCCACATAATGACATTTTTGTTGATTTTAAAGGAGATTAAATAATTTTTTCTATTCTTAACAAGCTTTAGTCATTTTATGAACCTGCATTACTCAGCTTCAGAAGTCAGGGAACAGCAACGATGCATTTCATGCTCGCAAATGACTTAGTTGCAATATTTTTTCCTCATAACCACTGTATTACTTTACAGAATTTTCCAGAAATTAGGAAAATACTTGTTTTCCCTCTGTTGACTGAAACACTGGAACTAGTTTTGCTGGAATAATTTTTCAAACCTTCTTCTTCTGACTTTTCATCTCTGTTTTTTCTTTT